CCCAGGCCCCTGCCCCGGGCGGGGGGGGCCCTCGGGCTCAGCAAGGCTCGGGCCTCTTGCTTCGGCTCCGTGCACCCCACGGCTGTGCTGTCAAGAACGCGAGCAGCGTGGACGATGTATTGTTCTGACTTCTACAGATCAACCTGGAAGAACACACACGAGACGTTTTTTATTTTTGGTTTCCAAAGAATATTTTGATGCAGATAAAGTATTTTATTAACTTTTGTGTTTTTGTTTTTTGTTTTTAAAAAGTACCTCTGCATTGAGCATATTTTCTTACTTTTATTATTTTAATTGATATGACATAAACAACCATTTTCACGAATTATAAAATGTGTTTATAGCCCATGTGTAACATGCGAATTTCTTTTTCACTTTTCTTATTCATCGCACTTTTTATTTTTATTATATATTTCTACCATACCTCAGATAATGTAAGTTTGGTTCTACATCTTAAAGTGTTTAAATTTCCTTCAGCACACCAAAGGCTCAGCTTGGGGGTGTGTGTGTGTGTGTGTGTGTGTGTGTGTGTGTGTGTGTAAATTCATGACATGTGGAATCGTTCCCCTTTTGTGGCAGGGCTATGATGGCTTAGAAGTAAGAAGACAATATAAGGACTTTTTTGATGGAATTAAAAGTTGGAGGTCAGGAAGACGATCGGAGGTACAAGTTTACTAAATTTGCAGCATTTGTTGAGGTCTAGTTCTGCCCTGCCTTCATTTCTCCTTTTATCTACCCTGCTCTCATTCTTGAACAGCTGGAGAAAACATTTTATTCTGCCCATCAAGCGTACACTATGAAACTAGAGGACTTAAAATACCTCTCCTGTGACCCTCCGCTGTCCCGCCATATAGCTCCATGGGGAGCAACCCACTTAGCCCCGAAAGCACGTGGAGAGCTGAGGGAGACGAATCGGGTAACAGTTATCCATGTCCAGGCCCACTGTCAGAAGTGTTCTTATTACTCAGTAGAACACGCTTTGAGTTTCCTGTACTAATGGAAATCATTCCAGAGAATAGATTTGCCCTTTTATAAGGAAACTTTCTGATGTATATTTTCAAAAAGCTGCTGTGTGATATGGGGAACTTAATTTGGGGATTTGATGAGTTGAAAATGGTAATTAATTGTCAAACCAGATACTGAATGTTGGGCATAAATTAGAAAATTTGACTTAAGAAAGTTTACATTATTTACTTATTTTCTTAGATAATCATTTTTACAGAGTTCTATGATATACAAGTGATTATCTTCTGAAATGTCGCAATAAAAAAAGGCATAGCTAATGTTTAGAAATATGTCTTTGATAGAAAGATCCAATGAGTTCAGTGGAGGTCCATGGTTTCTATTTAAGCATGCTCTTTTCTTTTAAAGAATACTGATAATCTTTATTAAAAAACAAAGTATAGTTTATTTTGGTGCACAAACTCAGAGTGGAAACTTTTCAAAATTGAACTTACTACAATTTAAGCAGATTGCTTTATTTTAATAAAAACAAACTGTACCCATATATGTATGATATAAATAATTATATACAAAATCCATCCATCAACTAAAATATCATGCATATACTCTAGTATAGTGTTACTATAAAGCCAATAATCTAAAATTCTCTGTGTTTAATGCATGATTTTTGAAAATAGAATATAAAATACCAAATTTTATATTAAAATTCTCCTGGGTTAAATGTAACAATGAAATTTTACAAACAAAGACATGTCCAACCCTTATCCAATTGCCATATCACCTTATATCACAGTATAAAGCTAAAAATAATCCTCTAGTTTATTCTAATATACTGTTAAGAATAGTGCATTGTATATCAAGTTCTTAGTACACATAAAAATTAAAGTTGTAGAGCCAGAGAAGAGCAGACATGTGTCCCTAAATGGGCAGGGAAATGATGGTATTAATGATGAATAACAACCAACTAAATTAATGCATACATTGTATTAGGCTAATGTTGCTAATAGTTTATGTTAACTAAAAAATAATAGCTTATCTTGTACTCCTAGTTTGATTTGATTAGGATATGAAGGTTAAAGTAAGATAGCTACCACATATATATTATGCAAGTCAGGACTCATTAATTTCAAAATTTAAAGCCAAGCTAAAATTTTTAAAAAGCCCCTTTAAATTACACTCATCTTTAATTTACTGGCCATACATAATTACACTTAATTAAAGCTCACTGAAGCAAAAAGTTACCTTAATTAATTAATTGAATGAACTAATCATGTACAGAAAACGTGTATAATTCCTTACTAATACCTAGAACTTTCTAAGGGGGGTCTTTGCTTATGTGGTTTTTGATGATTTTTTAAAAGTAACTGGACCCACCTAACATCAGATAAAGTTGTTTAATTGTGATTATGTTCATCTAAAAATGTCAATGAAATTTACAGTAAAATTTAAGAACCTAAATTGCTTAGAAGATAGATGAGAGACACTTTCACTCTGATATTTCAGTTTATATTATGTTTAATTTAAGGAAGTCTTTATTTGGAATATCAGTAAAGGTAAATAGAGATTTTTAATAAGATGTATGACACTGTGGTTTTTATTTCATAAAATATACCATCACTTCCTTCACCAGAAATTAATTTGAGCGTGTGGGTGTATATAAAGTACCTCATTTCTTTTAGCTGAGTTCCAAAGGCCCAACAGTTCAAAATCATATGTCAACAACAGAGGACACTAACAAAAGTTACTTCCAAATTTAATAATTATATCATTTTAGATGCTTTTATTTCATATAATTGAAAATAAAACCATAAATCTAGTCAGTAAATTTCTATAAAAATTTACCTTGAAATAAAAAAACTGAATAATTTTCATCTTTTACACTTTTTACTGTTCCAAAGGAGTAGTAACTAAGCATGACTTCCCACATTTTCAATAACAAAATGAAAATATTGTGCTTACTAACCCAAAACTTGATTCTGGCACCATTTTTACAGTTGCAGAAAATTACACAGTTAATTTGGAAAATAAGAACAATATTATAGACATTACTATAATGGGAAGCAAACAAAATTAACTTGTCAAAGGAATTCTACACCTCCTTTAAGATTTACTTCATTGCTACATCTAAATTTTAATCATGTAAAATAAATCTTTAAGCAAATCGATCTTTTAAAAATTTTTGGCAGAAACTTTTAGGTAAATGAACATGACTCATATTTTTCTTTTAGAAGTCAGTCCAGTTGCACTGGCCAGTGTGTGAAAAAAGATTATCAAATGGTTTGGAGTCGGCCGCCGGGGCTCCTTCCTGCACCTTGCTCCCTGGGAGGAAGGGAAGGGCCCCGCCTGGGCTGCGAGTGGGGCGTTTTTACCCCTGAGAATCACGTGCGGCACTCAGACCACCGCCAGACCATTGAGTTTCAGATCACCCACCGGTACTTCAGCGACGTTGTGTGATAAAAATACTAGTTTAGATATCAAGAGTCTTACTTTTTATTTTATTGTGTTGTATCCTGACTCTGCCATATGCTGATCACAAGTCACTTTCTAGGCCTTTGTTTCCTCCCTCACCGTATGATCTCTAGTGTCACTTCCAGCTTCGTCACCAATGATCGCCTGAGTCATGAGTCTTCAAATGTTGCGGAACCCAAAGAAGGACGTGATTTGTCTTCAGGTGACAGTGGATAAACACAGGGAAAAAAAATTGTCAATGAAGAAATAAAAATATTTTTAAAGCCTTGTCTTAGATTTAAAAATTGGGTAAGTGTGAGGTTACATCAAAAGATTTGAGAAATGGGAACCAATTCTGGGCTTAGCTTTTTATGAGCGACTTTTCCTATTTGAATTAATCTGGAGAGGAATGGTCAGAGTAGTATCATTGTTGATAACAGTTCTAGAACCTTAGTTAAACATGAAATTTTTGAGCACCTCTGTTGTGACTGAAATCCCACTTTCTCCATGAAGCCTTCTAGAAATTCATGAAGAAATATCAGTAAGCTCACCTTGACACAGTCCAAGTAAGTATAGCTAGTAACACAACTTTTCACCGCCATTCCCTTACCTTTCCAGTAAGTCAGCATTTTCTGAGTTCTTGCTCTGCACAAGGCACTCAGCTAGTGAAACACTCTTTTATTCGCTCAACACTTGTTCAGTATGTTCCCTTTGGATGTTAACACCAATGTACTCCCCGATTTTGAACTTCTGGAGGAAATATAGCTGTCCTCATTGCACATTGCCCAAACCGGGGTCAAGCTAACAATAGAAACTTACAAAGTGCTCTTAGCCAATAACAATTTTGAATATGTTCCTCTGCACTACTAATTCACAGAAGTGGGTGTCTAGTTATATTTATAGGTCCCTGCAATATTTCAGGTGCTCAAAGATGCTT